GAAGAGGCCGCTGTCAGGTAACAAACACGACCAAACGCGATGGGCTGGGTGGTGTGCGATGCCTTGTGTGATGTGTGTGTGTGTGTTCAGTGAGCCCATTCCTTACCCCCTACCTCTGCGCACGGAGGACAGTCGCAACCTGATGGAGCATGTCGAGCTGAGGGACGACAACCTGCAGCTGAGCCGGAAGCTGCGCGAAAAGCAGAGGGAGATACAGGCGCTCAAGGACCAAATCGACAGGTGCCTCCCTCCCGGACGCCGGACACAGGCACCAGCTCGTGACTTATCGCCGTCTGTTGTGCTGTGTGCTGTGTGTATGCAGTTGTGACGATTTGTCTGGCTACTATGCGACGAGCCAGTCGCAGCTGAAGCAGCAGATTCGCGAGAACGAGCGGCTAAGGCAATACGCGACCGACATCAACGACAAATACAACAGGTGCGCTCGCCTGCGTGTGTATGGTTACACATCTGTTTATCCATGTGCTATGTTTCGTTCAGGTGTTTGGAGGAGAAACATGGCGCCGAGAAGCGCCTGGTAGACGCCGAGGAGCAGATCAAAGAGCTCAAGGCAAACCACCCCGACACGTGAGCCACCCACCGCCCAACGCCACACAGACCGACAAGACAAGACAAGACAACACCACATCCCTCCCTCCGCTCTCTGCAGGCTCGCATCTGAGCTCGACGCCCTGTCGCCGAAGGCACCCGTAGAGGCCATCCAAGCCATCCTCCACCGCATCGATGACAGCGCGCAGAAGACCGCCCGTGTGTACGAGACCCTTCGCGTGAGGGCGACCGACATGCTGGTAGGGCGGGTGAGGGAGCTGGAGAGCGACGTAGAGAGGGTAAGGGGGGTGAATGAGAAGCTGGTGGAGGAGGTGAGGGAGGCCAGGGGGGAGAGCAGCCGCCTCGCCGAGGACAAGAGTCGACTGCAGTCAGAGGTGCGTACGCCCACGTGCACACAGTGATTCGTCGGGTGAAGGCGGCGTGTCTGCGCCGTTGGAGGGGTCTGTCGGTGGCGTCTGTGCCAGGTAGCGCGGCGTGAGGCGATCATAGATGGTCTGCAGAGTTGTGTGGGCTGCCGGGAGCGCCAGCCAACCCAACTCATACGACCCTGCAAACACCTCGGTCAGTCCCCCCTGCGTGTCGATCACTTGTCTGTTTCTGTGTCCCTAATTGTATGTTCTGTGTGTGTGTGTATGTCGACGTCAGCCTTTTGCGACACGTGCTTCGGACAGTGGAACATCCCTCTAGTGGATTGCCCCATGTGTGAGTATACAAAACAGCACGCCGACGGCCAGCGCTTGGTGGCATTTCAAAGTGTCGGTTGGCTGTTGTGTGTGCGATTTGATTGGCACACAGGTAAGCAGCATATCGACTCCATCGAGCGCGTCTTCGTCGGCTGACCGACGCCATTCGTTGATTGACTGATTCATTAGAGAGGAGGGGTCACGCAGTGCCCGGCAGCTCTTACCTGTGTGCGCACACTCGTGACGTCGACCTACGCATCTGTATGCACTGACCTGTCTATATAAGTAGGTGTCTAGCTGTGATTAATGCATTCTTGGCGTGGAACTTTTTTTGCCGAGTGGCCAAATTTACAAGCACCGTTGACCGTTGAGATTGCCCCTGCCTTTTCTGATGCCCCGGCATGTTCTCCTGCTGTTATCGACTCCTTTGTTCAATCGTCCTTTCGAAGTTCTATGCGGTGGGCCCTCCGTCTTGTAACGGCGTTGCTTTCCATTCTGCTGAGTCAGTGGGAGAGGAGGGGTGCTGTGGCCCAGTTCACGACGGCCTGTCTGAGCAACAACAACAGAACAGACGACGACGGACAGCCGACCGAAACGAACGCAGACTGCCAGCCAAGTAAGCCTCGAGCACAACAGGGGGTCGCCCAATACGCTTGGTGTCTTTTGTCGTTTCTATTCAGTCGTGTTCCCTGACGGTGAGATCTTCTCGAGTTGTGAGGCCAATGCGCTGCTGCCCATCCTCGACGACCCCGACCTGGGCAACTTCGGCCAGTGCTTCTATGAAGATAACGCCCAGGAAGAGCTCAAGAGGCAGCAGACAGATGCCCTGACCACCGACGAGGAGACCGCCGGCGACGTGAGTGCATCGGGAGACAGGCAGAGCATCCTCTGTGGGGAGCTCAGTGGCGTGACCTCCACGGCGGCACTCGGCAGGTGTGCGCACAGGTGGCCACAGCCTCTTGGGAGATATGTGTTCGTGTGTGCCTGTCTGTCAGCTGCCCGTCGGACAAGCCCATCTGTGCCCGCACGAGCGACTCTCGCTTCTGCTACTGCATCGAGGAGAGCATTGGTCTGTTCGGTGAAGTGGCCAACTTCTCGCGCGGCGATGTCAGCCTCGTGCTGGGCGTCGCCAGCGGCCAGCCATCGTCTCTGTGTTTCCCGGCCGAGCTGGATCCGTGCTTCAATGCCGTCAACCGCTTCGCTGTGCCCTTTGACTGTGCGGGCAGCCTGCCCGTCGTCGAGAGAAGGGGAGAGGAGGGGCCCGACCCACGAGAGCAGAGCTTCAAGCCAAACGCCCCGCCCCCAGTTCCACAGCTTGAAGAATCGACGTTCGCCCAGCTGGTGCCCGGCACTTACCTGTTCGAAGACGTGAGCTCTGACGCCTACCTCGACACCATCAACAACACGGGCACCAATGTGTCGAGCTGCATGAGAATTCAGGGCAAGCCTGACGATGATAGTGGGCTCGATGACTTCTTCCTCGACCTGTCGTGCAACACGACAGAGGGCGTCAGCGTCACTCTCCAGTTCGACTGCCCCGAGACCGGCCTCTGCTCCCAACGCGAGGGGCAGGCGTTCGAGCCCGCCCTCGCCACCATCCAAGGCGTGATGCGAGTGGAAGACGCCAGCAACCCAGCCTGCGTAGGGGTTGAGGCGCAGATCGAGATCACTGCCACTGGCTTCGTCGATGAGGCGGTGTCGTTGCGAGCGGAACAGGTCAATTACGAAGAGGACCAGCGCATTCTGGTCATTGGGGACGACGAGCAGAGCGACCTCATCACTGCACGGGTGATGGGGATCCTCAGCCCCGCCCGTGACTTCAGTCTCGGTCTGCTGGCGTTTCCAGATGAGGCACCGGAGGGCTGCGACCTTCCTGTCAAGCAACGGGTTTTCACCGTAACGTCAGGCGACACCGATGCGGGAGGCGTGATTGCCTTGGCAGCAGGCGGATATAGAACCGACGCAACGACCGGCCTCCCTGTCTCGGTGGTAAGTCAGCAAAGGCAGTGGGGCCCCTTGGTCGTATTGCTCTCGCTTGCCTTGGTCCGTGGTGCGTCTTTCTGTTTCAGAATCCGCTTGAGCTTTCTCTGGACGCAGAATCGAAGCAAGATGTGTTCCGGAACTGCAGCGAGGCCTGTCGAAGCTCAAAAGAAAGTCAGCGTACATCGACAAGGCCTCGTTCTACCGGCGTGGCGTCGAGAGAGAGAGAGAGGGGCATCTTTCTGGGCCCCGACCCCGGTCGGACCCTCCTCGGTCAAGCCCTCCCATCGATATTCTTCCCAGTGTTCAGGCCGGAAGAGGGCCCGCGCCTCTCCTTCGGCAGCGACCGCATCATGGACTCATATTTCGTGCAAGCTCAGAGCCTCGACATTTCGTGCCTCAATGACACTGATGCCGAGGAATTCGTGGATCCCTGCGACCGTCGGCTCGCGGTGTCGCTGTTTTGTGTGAATGCTGCCGAGATGCTGTCGCCAACATTTGGCCTTTTTGATGGTGGCACTGGAATGGAACTGGGTCTGGTTTTGAAAGGGCAGCTGGGAGCTTTGACCGAGGGACCTTTGACGGACGGAACAGAAGGTGCGAGGCTGACACGGGCATCGAAACTTAAAGACGAATCACATGTGTCTGCTCTGTGTTTGTGGGTTTGTGCCAAAGTGCTGACCAACTGCCGCGGTCCGCGCATCCAGAACCTTCCAGTCGGTTTTGAGGAGCCTTTTACGCTTCCCAGGAATCTCACAGTGGGCGACATCGTGGCTGTCTCACTCGGTCCGGATGTCGGCACGCTGGGGGGTGACACCTTGGTGAACGTCAATGTCACCGGTGAGGAGTCGTTGATTGCGGCGAATGCTAGGAACAGGACGATCAGCCAGCTGGAGGAGCACACATGCCCTCCCACCAACGAGCCTGGCAAACAAAGCATCACGGCATTTGTCGACGTGTTGCAAGAGGATGGGAACATATGGAATGATACGTGTTTCATCGGTTACGAATGCTGTGAGTCACACCAAGACATTCACTTGGACATCCCCATCTCACTGGTCCTTCTTCTTTTCTCTCTGCGTCTCAGTTGATGCGTGTCCTGATGCGATCCTGGCCGCCCCCACGTCGACTCAGCCGTCCAGCTATCGCATGGTCGATCGCATCGAAGAGAGATCAACCGGGACCGACTATTGTCTGAGACTGATCAACCGGGAGACAGGCATAGGGGAAGACAGCAGAACAGAGGAAAATCTCTTTTTCAGCTGTGAGGACATGCAGGCGACTATCAGATACGACGTGGCTGCGCTGGATGGGAGACTGCAGCCCTTTACGGTGGATGCCTATGACCAGGCTCAGATAGCCTTCGCAAATGTCGATATCAAGGGTACGGTGCGCCAGGTGCTGACCTTGGTTGACGGAGAGCCGGTGGAGGTTTGCAACGACACGCTCATGTTCGTCGAAGGTGCGCGCCGAAAAGATACATAAATGAGGCAGGGGAAGGCGGGAGGAGCTTCATGGATGTGTGGTATTCGCAGGCACTCTTGTCGGTGGTGAGGCAAACTGATCAAGCACGACGATCCCCGTGATGCCGTCGTTGCGTATCATGCAGGTCTCGCGATCGACCCATCCGGCAGGGCAATCCCGCAACAGACTGGCGAGCCGCTCAATCTGCCCTTTCTCCCTGTCATCGAGGACCTGCAGCAAAGCAAGACCAGGAGTCAAGCGTCCGTCCCAGAGCTGCTGCTGACGTCCAGGTGAATTGGATGGCATGGCATGTTGGCTGAGTGAGGTGACTGTGTTGTTCTCTGTCATGTGTCTGTCCAGCTTCTCGCTCAACCAGATGGACTACACCATCCTCAGCGCCCCAACAGATGAAACGGACGACCGGTGCTTCTCACCCTCGACTCGACTCACTTACCGCCGTGGCGGGAGAACCCCCCGCTTCCCGTGCGTCCCGCGCCTGTTGGTGCAACAAGACTTCACTTCGACGAATATTGCTGTTACTGCTAGCCATGGGATGACTGAGTTGGACAACGGCCTACCTGGCCAGCAGTACGATACAATCCTGTATGCTGTCTTGCCCACAGTATGCGACAATCGACAAGAAGGTAATGAGCAGACAGAGGGGCATTGGCTCGTGTCGTTACGCTGTGTCCTGGGTATCGAATTCGTCAGGCGTCCCTCTTGGCGTTCAGATTCAGTGTCGCCCCACCACTCCCATAAATGTGACGGCCGATGACCCGCCACTCGAAGCTGGCGTTGACTTTGATCTCAAGTAATGAGATCAACACACGACGAACAGAGCGATTGTTACTCACCGTACGGATTTGTGCACTGCTTTGTGTGGCTGCAGATCTATCGCGAACGTGGCGACGGATAGCTCCACGGCTGGCCTCTCGGATGACAATCTTCAATCTGACTTCCTCCTCAGCTGCACAAGTGAGGACGTCGAGCGTATCAGGAATCGCCCCAGCTTGGCCGGAGGAGCTTCCGCGTTTATTGTTCGGACGATTCCCCTGTTCGTCGACGTTCCAGCAGCCAACGGCGAGCCTGGTCGGCGGGTGAATCAGCTGTGTCCTGTCCTGACATTCTGTCGCCCATGAGAGCAAAGAAGTCATCGCTTCCTCGTGGATGCCGTGGGAAGTGCGATGGCGGTTTGGAAAGTCACACCGGTGCTACAGCATTCGGCAAGGTGACTGACTGATTGTCGATTTTTTGCTGATCGGAGAAGGCAGGTCTTTCTACAGTCTGATGGTCCCGGAGCCACACGCATGTGTGCTTACAAGTAGGCAGACCACTCACACAATGACGATCGATGACATGGACCAATTTGCAATGTCTGTTTGTCTGTCTGCCTCCCTTTGTCAGCTTGTCGTTGCCGTCTCCGTGTGCGTGTGGTGTACACTGTAGACAGCCGCAGATAGCAGGTTTTCTGTTGCGTCGATAGTCCATTTGAGGTGATGTTAGTAGTAGTGTGGTCGCTCAGAGTGCGAATTTTCCCATGTGTGCGTGCGCTGCACTTTTATAGTCACCAGGACGAAAGGCCCCTCCCTCCCTTGTCTTTTGTTGGGACTCTGTATGGGGCGTCCGTGGTGACCAGCTGTCCCCTTTTGTAAGACTCGTCTAGCGAAAAGCGGTTCCAAATTCATCCTGGCCGGCCGTTGTGTACAGTGTATGCGAAGAACGAGATGATGAAGCTCTCTTCGGAGAGGCCAGCGAGGCTGCTGTCCATTGTCGCTCTGCTGATTACTCAATGCTGCACACAAGAACCCCTGAAGAAGAAACTGAGCTGGACACTCACAAATCTCATCGGCATCAACAGCGAAACAGAGCCACGTGGAAGGCTCGCCTTTCCCACTGTTGTGCCATCAGCACCGACAAGAAGAGCTGCCAAGACACCAGCCCGCATCCACATTCGCCCTGACCAACACGTTGCCATCGACGCCACGGCGACGAGCAGAAAGGATGCGGCGAAGCTGCGGGATGCTCTGCAGGGCCTTGGGATGGAGGCGGCTGTCGTGCATGGGCGAGTTGTGTCGGGCCTCTTCCCTGTCGCCCGCGTCAGCAAGCTTGCGTCCATACCGCAGCTGCTGTATGCACGGAGAACCTTCTTCATGCAGAAACGGAAACGCGGCAGCTACAGCTCCCCCGTTCACGACAAGGGGCGCCGCCTCGACGCTCTCGGGAGCTTTGATCCGGCGCGTGGGGATGCGACCAGTCAGGTGATCACGAATGGCATGTCGGTCGAGTGAGTCCATTGACTGTATCGTTCTCTGCTGATGTGGCTGTCTGCAGGCGGATGCGGCGATGCGGGTGGATGAGGTGCGAAAGCGGCTTGGGCTGACGGGCCGTGGCGTGTCCATAGGCATCCTCTCGAATTCCTTCAACACCACCGGTGGACAACAAACTGATCAGGAGACTGGCGACCTCCCTGCTGACGTCGATGTGACACGTGACTACCCCGACTTCTTCGGCAGCCAGCTGGATGAAGGGAGAGGTACGCGAACTTCCACATACAGGAATGCACTGCACCTCTTTGTGGACGTGCAGCCATTGCCCAGTCAATTTATGACCTGGCCCCCCATGCTGCGCTGAGCTTTGCGCCCACTCTGACGGACGACACGGGGGTTGGCCGTGATAACTTTGTCGATGCCATCTTGCGGCTGGCAGAGGACAACGACATACTCGTCGATGATGTAAGCAGGGAGCTGACGGGCAAGTGGCATGTTTACGCACTGATGTCATTTGTCAGAAAGCTGTTTTGAATGAGCCGTTCTTCCAGGACGGCATCGTAGCCCAGACAGTGGACCAGGTGGTCCAGGATGGCGTCCACTACATCACAGCAGCCAGCAAGTAAGAACCAGACCACACCTACGACGTTTGTCCTCGTGGGCTGATTCTGGTGTGTGCATCTGTTGCCTCCAGTGATGGCATCAACGCCTTTGAGAACACGTGGCGAGATGGCGGGACGATAGATTTAGTAGCGGACCCCTACGACTACTTCGGCCTTGGAGAGGAACAGACGCTACCCGTGCACAATTTCGGCACGGAGGACAATGTCGTCAACTATCAGGTGATCCCGACAGCGTCCATAGAACACCTCCTCATCGTGTTCGGCCTTGTCCTCGACAGCTCATCCGTGTGCCGAGGGACGACAGCTTCACTCTGATATTCCAATGGGTGGGTTAACAAAGCCATCACACACCAACTGCTCCTTTCTCCATGTGTCAATTGTCGATGGCAGGACGAGCCATTCGCTTCTGCGTGCGGCGGGGAGTGTGGCTCCACTTCTGACCTTGACATCGTCTTGTTTGATTTGGACGACAACGTCATCGCCAATGTTGGCGGGCGCGACGAGAACATTAATCGCGACCCCCTCGAACAGGTCTTTTTCGACCAGAGTGAGGTGACGGAGAATCCCTTCATCGACCCAGACTCCGAGCTTTACAAGATGCGCATCGTGCTGAAGGAAGGCGAGCCGCCGGAGAGGATGAAGTACCTCTTTATATCCGACGGCGATGCCTACCCGGTCACCTTCTTCAACGGCGGCCCAACGATTTTCGGTCATCCCAATGTCGAGGGCGCCCTTACCGTGGGGGCAGCATACGTGAGGAGAGACAAACACGGATAGACGTTCTCTCTTGAGTCACTCTCTTGTCTTTGGTCGCTGCAGTACGCCGACACGCCAGTGTACGACGAGGTGTCTCCGCCCATTGCCGAGCCCTTCTCTGGCCACGGCAACACGCCCATCCTCTTCGATGTAGACGGCAACCGACTTGAGAACCCCGAAGTCAGACGCAAGCCTGACGTCACTGGGGTCGACGGCACCGACACTACATTCCTCGGGGAAGATGAGGACGGCAGTGGGTTTCCATCGTTCTTCGGCACATCAGTAGCGGCGCCGCACGTCGCGGCAGTGGCCTCCCTGCTGCTGGAATGGGATCCCACGCTGACACCCGCTGAGCTTGCTGCCGTCCTGAAGGAGACGGCTGTGGACATGGACGATGTGATCGACCTGAGCCAGCAGGGGGGCGGGGGCTTCGACGAGGGCTACGACGCTGCCACTGGGTTCGGACTTGTCGACGCGTTCGCAGCAGTGACATCTCTCGGTAAGGCCGCAGCTGCAACGGACATACAGTATGGACATGGCTTTGACTGTGCCCCTGTCTTTCAGATGGCATTCCCACGTGTTTGGCAGCGGCCGAGGGACACGCGGACCCCAACGTGGAATGCACGCTCAGAGACGGAGCTTTACCGTGCCCAGGAACGCCCAATGCTGACATTATCGAGGCAACCGTCGATCCACCTGCCGGTGGAGACCTGATCGTCGACGCGCTGGCCGGTGACGACTGCATTAAGGTCACGACTGCACCGGCCGGTGACACGCTGTCTCTCACCATCACTGGCGGCCCGGGGAGCGACTACATCACCGTCGAGGGCTCCATGAGCGACTCGAGCGCCATCGAGATCTATGGTTTATCACCAAGTGAAGACGACGGCAGGCGGGACACTATTTTCCTTTCCCTCGATGTGGAATCGGGCGAGCAAGGAGCGCGCATCTTCGTGACCGACTCGGGCGATGGGGCACCCCACACAGTGGACACGTCGCTGAACTTCGGTCTGACCCCAGACGGAGGGTGCAGAGCGGACGAGATAGTGGTCGACACGTCAGCCTCGGAGCTGACGTATAATGAGTTGGATGGCACCATCCGTGCGGGCGACAGCCTGGTCGCAATCATCTACCCGGAGCTGCCTGAGGAGGCGCTGTCGATAGAGGGCACAGTAGTCAAAAGGAACTGCCAAGTTGAAAGTGAGAAAAAGACGCTTGCTTGCTCACACCCTGTCTCCTCTCCCCTCTGAGCCCCCTTTCAGTCCCCGAGTTCGCGCCCCGTTCGCCGGTCCAGTCGCCCCGCATTCGGCGCTTCATCGGCGCCGAGAGGCTCCCTTTTATTGCGCTGGAGCCTGGCACACAAGAACTTCCCATACGTACAACAGACATACACAGCCACACGTGTACCCATTGCTCATCTGCTCTTCATGGATTCGCTGTGTGTCTCTGCAGCGGGCTGCCCGCCAAGCACTTTGGACGATGACTTCGTCATCAATCTGCTGCCTGATGGACCCCAGGCATGCGATGGTGGAGGCCAGCGTGTTACTTTCGACGTGACGGAGCTCAACAGCCCACTTCCCGTGTTCGACACGAAGGTCACTGAGGAATGCCCGGGCAAGTCGTACTCGCAGCGGCTGGTCTTGGCGGAGTTTGGACGCCCCGCGTCGTTGAGCCTGAACGCCAACAATGATGAGTCGGTCGACACGACACAGGTGCATGTGTTTCGGGGCTGCGAGAGTGGACTGTACTTCGAGCCGTCGGTCCTTCGCGCGACAGTGGGGCCTACAAGCCCCCCAGCACTTATTGTGGAGCCTGGCGCATACGCGCTTCTCGTCACGAATCTGTGCGAGAGCGGCTTCCAGAGCGACATCACTATCGTGTGCGACGACGCCCCTGCTACCATTGAGAGGGCCAGGCGGAATGAGACAACAACCAGGAGCGGCGCTTTCCTGAGAGACAAAGCCGAGACAGAGGAGTGAATGCTGCTGATCGAATGAATGCCTTGCCTCGTTTGTGTATGTGCCGCCCTGTGTGGCTAATGCATGAGTGAGTGGATGGATACAGGTGGCGCATCCACGCAGTGCGATACAGAGTGGGGCTGCATTGATTTGTGAAGGGCGGGCGATCAATGTATCGCTCACCCTGTGTGTTTTGTTACATCTTTGTGCCAGGTGTGTCAGTCAGGTGTCTGTCTGTGCAGTATTTTTGAGTAGGCATCTCCTAGACCACTCGGTGGTGACTGTTGCTTGACTTTTATACACACACATACTAGTTGAGCCAAGGCGTGTACTCCTCGATTCTGAGGACGCATCACCCCAGTCCGTATGAATTAAGCCCCACACAGCACCCCCACACCCACTAGAATGTACAAAAGCGATGAGTCGACCACAGACAACAGGACAGGCACTGCAAGGACATATAAACCAGGGTACCAAAAACGAAAATGGCCGGCTGGCTGGTGGCTGCAGCCGTGCTCTCCTGCGTATGGGTTACGGACAGGGGAACACACATACACGCAAAAGGCCCACGTTTGTGCGCACCATCAGGTCTTTGTTCCTCTCACCTTCGCGTCTTCACATGAAGCGTACGAAAGTCCGCTCATCTTCAGATAATAATCAGGTTTGGATTTGAAGTGATATCGACGTCCACGAGAGTTACGGTGATTTGAGGGTCACACAATCCCGTGTGCTGGAAAATATCCAACCTCTGTGCAGTGAGTGCACCAGGCATAGCAACCGAAGCAGCCAGTGCACAATTAAGTGATCTGGCGATAAGTGTGCCGTTTCCTTTTCGCTTACGAACCCATTCGCAAGCCGCATCGCATTCGACCGCCCAGTCGGCAGAGCCAGTCTCGCGGCCTGTCCGGACCGCAATAGCGTTCTCATAAATGTCTACACACACGCATGGGCACAGGAAGGAATGAGCAGCCCATGCATGCAAGAGGGAGCTTTGTATGGCGCACCCCGAGTGTTGTCGGTGGCCGCCGCACTGGTCTCAGTCACTCTGACATGCACAAAGCACACACGGGGTCCGGTCCATCGCGCGAGAAATCCCTCCGGGCAATGACACACACGTGTACCCGTCGAAGGTGACGGTGAGTGCGGCGTTTGCGCCTGTCGTGCGGGAGTCCAAAGCAAAGACCATGTAGTCCTCAACAGGGGCATACCATCGGTAGGTGCCAGAGGTGTTCTCGGTGGCAGTGCCACTCTCTCTCCTCTCCACATCTGCACTCACCCATCCGTGTGAGCAATCAACAGGTGCAAAATGCAGTGAAGGTTGACTGGCCTACGCACGTACCTGGGCATTCTTGCTCAGGCACGACGACTGCAGGCAAACAACAGCAAGAGAGGGGGGGTGGCAGATTGGCATCAGATTCTGCACACGCTGACCCTCGTCTTGCTCTTGGCGGCCCCTTGCTTCCAGCAGCTGTCCCAGCTTGTCAGTGAGGTCCATCAGCCGCTCTCTGGCCTCGGTGTCTTCAGGGGGAGGCGTCGTCACCTCGGCTTTTTGCCGCGCATCGCGCAGTGGAGCTGCAAATGCTCCCAGGCATAGCAAATAGACGCAGCCCAGCGCCAAGAAGCCCTCCATGATGTGACGAGGCAGGATTGGTTCGTACACGATGTAAACGAAGTAAGTTTGCACTCAAACAGACATATACGTACCAAAGGCGAGGTGCAGATGGGTCTGGGGTGCACATGTGCGTCTTTCCATGGCAGGCCGATGGGCAGACACACACCACACACCATCCTCCTTTTCGCATCCATCTCATCCCTACGGTCTCTATCCGGGCAGGCAGGACACACGTAAGTCATGCAGCTCTGAGAGTCGAGGACAGACAAACAAACACAGCTGTACAGACAGGCGGACACAAAACGCAGAGGTGATCTAGTGAGTGAAAAATGGCGAGTACACGTACAAGGCGGGGAGAGACCGACACAAAAAGCAGCAATTTCTTGCCGGCCTACGCTACGGTACTGTAAGGGTCACCACGTCATCATCGATAGTTACCCCGACGCCGTCGATGTCCGCACCCGCAGGGAGGACACACTCACCTGTGTGCTCGTAGACAGACAATGTCTTTACACACACACACATACACACACACCGAGCGAAGAGAGAAAAGTGTTCAGCCACGGCTGTCAGTCTTCGCCTGTGTGATTCACTCTGACTGCCGGCCTGCGTACCCACTCACAATCGGGCGCACCACTCGAGCACGTGACCTGAGAACATCGAAAGACACACAGCAACGTAGCTTCATGCTGGGCCCATGCGGCCCCGTGTCAGACCCACCCCACCGTCCATTGTACGCCCGGTGACCCCGGGATGCCTGCCGTCTCAACCCTCACCACTTCTTGGCCGCTGGTCGCGCTCTCCGCAAACTCACTGCACACATGAACAATAGACGCACGCAAAGCGCCATCGAGCGAGTGTGACGGTGGTTATCGCCGCCCCCTGCCCTCTGCTGTACGTGCGTACCTGGTTGTGCGGTCGGTCACCCGTAGGGTCGCATCTCCTGTTGCTGAATCGAGGACAAAGATCAGAAAGGCAGCCGCCTCCGGTCCCGGCTCGCCCCACAGGAGGCTGTCCGATGTCACGTCGAGTTCAGCTGTCGTGCTGGGTCCAATGACCCGATTGTAGTTCGCTGCAGACAGCCCAACCACATGCACAAAGACAGCATCACCAGAGGCCACTCGAAGATGCTCTGATCTGCTCTGGCTCATCATGCTCACTGGGACAATCGCCTTGCTCGCGTGAGGCCCCGTCATCTCTCGTCATGCCGTCGGCATCAGCAGCGTCGATGTGATTTGTGCCGACACTGCCGCTCCCTGTGTCGCCCAGCAGCTCTTTTAGCCGTTGGGCGACCTCACGCAGCCTGGTCGTCGCATCTTCTGCAGGAGAGAGGTGCACGCGGCTTGACGCTGCAGTCTCTGCGGGGGTGATGGCCTTGTCACCCTCCACCCCCAGGAGTCCCAACGTGAACAGGAAAGCCAAGAAGAACATCCCCTCCTGCGCACCGTGTTCAGACGTAAATTCGCTGAGGGCGATGGCCAAGCACGACAGACAGCACAATCAGCATAATCAGAATGCACAAGGACACGTCCATGTGTTCCACGTCACTTGGCTGATTGTTCTATGTTCTCCCGGACAGCACCGACGCATCGCACACGCATGAACCTTCACGCGCACACGAGACCTCGGAGCCGCACAAGGCACACGGAACAGTCAGCAAGATATCAGCAGAAGAACGAGAGGAAAAAGAGGTCATGGTCCGTCCCTCGCCGTCAGTCAGCTCATGTGCACGTGAACGGATGGACACTTCCTCTCCTCTCCCCTCCCCTCTCCCCCTCGCCGTGCCTCTCCTCAGCAGTAAGCACCGTCGGTCAAGACACATGGATAGATGGATAGATAGGCTCTCTGCACAGCTACACACACACAGGATACAGGAAAATGTACAGACACGACGTATCCGTGCCACACACTTCTCACGCACAGCGTGATTCACAGAGAGCCAGACAGACAGGCAGACAGCCAGGCAGAGATGGGCGCTCACAGGGTGGATGCACCTCGGTGCACCACTCTACTGTGTACACGTACGTGTTCATTCCCTCAGTGTTCCACGCCATCCCCTCTCTTAAATACACAGTGCTCCACGCGCAAGTAGGGGCAGCGGGACACACTCTCTCTCTCTCTCTTTCATGCGCTGGCCACGAGGGAGGAAAAACTTCGGAAAACACACACGGGCGCAACCCGTATTGGCGTACACGTACGCAGACAACACAGGAATGTATAAACACAAGACAGACACAAGGGGGAGAAGTAGATGTGGACGTCATAGATGTCACTCTCACAGTACGGAGATGCATTGCAATGGGAAACACTGCCCCCCTCTCGCGTACCCACACCCTCTCGCAGTAACTCTCATCGACCAACACGGCAAAAAAACACGAAAAGAAACGACGGGAAAAAACCAAGCGGTGCGAAACGAGCCGAAGCTACGTGGGTGGGGTGTGAGAGCGTTAGCTGAGTTCGCTAGGCCTCCGGGTGCTCACTGACGAACAGCTCTGCGTTGAGTGAATTCACTTTGAGCTCCTGGGCCTTCTGCTGCAGCGTCTTCTCGAAGGCGGGCGTGTAGTGGCCGTCGGGCTGGATCTTGTCGGCGGTCTGCTTCATCCAGTACTTGACGTACTCGTCCCTGCACACACGACCACACGGCACGCACCAAACCACACCACACCACATAAGTGCACTGCCTCCCCGCGCTGCCCTTCCCTCCCTGCCTCCCTCCCTCCCTCCCTCTCTCACTTGCTGATCCAGTGTGCGATGTTTTCGTCGACACACGGCGCACCACACGCCAGCACCTCACACCACTGTTTCTCAGCGCTCTCCTTGGACTGACCAGAACACCAACACACCCTCTTCAGCTCGTCCTTCTCCACCTGAGTGACACACAAACAACGCAGCGCAAGCAACTTGCCACGTGCCTTTGCCTGTTCCTGCTTGTCGGTCGGGTGGTGGCTTACGTAGCCGTTCATGTCCAGGTCGAGCATATCAAACATCTTCGACCCCCTGAACACACACACACCAAAACGAACAGAGGTGTGTGGAGACCGTATCCTTCCTGGGCACCATCATTCTCCGTTCGCTTACCACTCCTGAGGGGTGTTGTGTGTGGCAGCCACGCTGGCGAAGGGGCGGAGCAGCCGGGTAGCAGGGACGGCAACAAAGCGCGAGGAGCGGATGAGGGACAGCATTCTGGAAGGAAAGATGAACAACGGTGGACGCACAGCGGCTTGGGGAGAGGACGCCTGGGGAGGAAAAAGGGGAAGGGGGGAAGGCGAGAAACGGCGACCACCCGTGCGAGCTTTCATGTTGTTGAGGGAGGGAGGAAAGGGAGCTTTCTTCGGACTGTTTTGGCTTCGTGTGTCGCCTCCTGGCTGCTGCGTGATGCCTGCAGTGATGAAATCGACGGATGGCCTCGCTGTGTTCGCCTTCTTATGGGCGTCCACCCAGCTGCTGCACGTGGTGAAAGATCTGACGCCCAGTGCTGCACTGCACGCAGCAGTGGCTGCCAACGGAGGTAATGAGCACGAATCTGCATGCTTCATGATGCCCGTGTGTGTGTCGGTCTGTGTGTCTGGCAGTGACCCGTGTTCCTTTTGTGGATCTGCATCGCATCATTCCCCTCTGTGTGGCCCTTGTCAACGCTTCCCTGCTGGTGCTGCCGTCCCGGCTGCCCCTCTTATTGGCCAGCACGGCGCTCTCCCTCGTCTACGACTTTGTTCTCGGCCCGCTGTCAAACCACATCCTAACAGAGATGTGCTTCGCTGCCTCTGTGGTTGCTGTGGTGGTGCTCGGCATGACGAACAAGAAACGGCGAAAGGACATGCAGAGGGAGCTGGCCCACGTGCTGGGCTACCAGATGGCATCGCTGTACACGGTGGCCGCTCTGCACAAGTTCAACACCGACTTCCTGGTGGCCCGCAGGAGCTGTGCTAACCAGGTGCTGGCTATCGTGGTCAAGCAGTACCTGCCCGCTTCCTTGATCCACTCGTCTGTCGTCAAGTTCATGCTGCGTCACGCGCACTGGGGCGCCCTCATCGGCGAGACGGCCATCTCTGCATGCTTCTGGTTCGAGCGCTCTCGAGAAATCGGCATGCTGATGGGCCTGGGATTTCACATCTTCCTCGCCGTGCCGCCCCCGCCTGCGTCCTTCTATCCCTTCTCCATCTGCATGATGTGCTTTTATGTGCTGGTGCGGCCGCGTGTGTTCGAGAGGGCCATGGAGAGGCTCGGGGGCGGCTATGTGGCCCTGGCGGTTGGTGCTGCTGTGGCTGCGATCGTCTATGCGTTCGTGCCGAAAGGGCCTTACTTCGAGTATCCCAACTACAACTTATTTCCTGTGGGAGTGACCTGGGTCGTGACGGTGTCTATCTGTCAGCTCGCTGCCCTCATCGTCGCCCCCTCCCCCATTCCCTCCCCCCCTCCATCAGCAAAGAGGGCTGCCAAGGAGCCAAGAAGCCTGTCGTGGGTTACCAGGCTGTCGAGTGGCATTGTGTGGTTCTGGGGTCTGAGCCCGTACCTCGGTCTGCGGACCTATCCGGCGCTTGCCATGTTTTCCAACCTGCGGAGCGAGGGCGGGCGGCCCAACACTCTGCTGCCGCTGGCGAGGAATGTGGGCATGCTCGGGTGGAGCGGGGCGGGGCAGAGCTATCGCGTCATGGAGACCAATCTCACGTCGCTGAGGAGCTTTCAAGTCGACCTCGCTGAGTACTACAGGCCCGACATTCGCAGATATCTCGATGAGGTGAGCACCGACGGACTGAGCCAGTCATATGCACACGTGGATGCGTGGTTTGTGGCTGCAGGTTGGTCTTGAGGCGGCATTGTGGATCTGTCCGCCTCGGTGGACGGCCCCCTCGCCCACTTCGCCGCCCTTCCGGCCGTTCGACGTGCCGCTGGTAGAGATACAGCGCCTCATCGGCGCCGAGCTGAGGAAGCCACAGCCACAGCCATTCTTCGTCACATTGAGGCCCTTGCAGAAGGAGAGTGGCCACGACCAACCTGCCCTCAACCTAACGTAAGTGTGGGAGAGGAAAAATGCTCCTACAGGTATGTTATCACATCTGTGTGTCTGCATTGCAGGTGGGATGGCGGCGAGTGGTATCTCTCCTTCTTCGTGCCGCAGACAGTGCGGTGGGACGGCAAGCAGTGGGCGGCAGCTGCACCTGCCCCCTCTCACCCGCCGTCGCTGCCTGATGCATTCCGCATTGACGTGCTCAGGGATAGGTCGTGGTTAAGAGTGATCCAGGAGGGCTTGGTGAGGTTTCGGTCTTTTGACGAGCATGACAGCCCTTGCAGGCACTGACTGGGATGAGTGCTATCTATTGGAGACGAGAGAACTCTGTGCACCAGGTCTTTTGTATGTGTCGCTTGTCGGCGGCATCGTGACAGTCTGGATGAGACCAGCAATATATATATATATTTTCAAATCTGAAAGCCATTCGCCCGAGCCAGTCATAAACAAATACAAATACACACACACACATGCACCATCTAGCAGCATAGAGCGAAGAACACAGAGAAAAAACACATCGAATACCACGTGCCTGTGATATCCGGCCATTCCATCCTTCTCAAGCAGCATTGCGGTCGGCCTGGCCCTGTGTGCGTGTCAGGCGGTCTATCGAGCCTTGTGCACTATCCACGAGCTTCAACAGCTCCTGCTGCTCACGACACAGGGCCATCTGCCTCGCCAATACGTCACGCGAAAAGGACAACAGATCAGGAACACTCGAAAGGCCCGCCAGCCTGCTGGACAACCTGACACGAGAAAGGGAGAGACAATGCACTCATTTGAAGGGGCTGCAGTCGTGTGATGTTCTTCTGTGCCTACTTGGCTGTCTGATCGCTGCCCTGGCTGGGATGTGTCGCGATTGAAACTCCCCGCAGCCTGTCAATGACCGGAGAAAAGACGTGCGTGTCGAGCGGCACACGCCATCTGTGCGTGGCGATGGTCACCGTGTGATCTCGGCCTCCTTGTCGGCGAGTGCTCGCGACACCTCCCTCTCTCTCGCCGCCTTTTCCTCCCGCAGGGCCGACAGCTGGGCCGTCAGCGCACCCAGCCGATCACTGACCACACCACACCCACACCATACCATCAAGGACCCCCGCCTCTTTTGTAGAAGTCTGCCCCACTCACTGTTGGTCCTTGATGATTTGGTCCTTGAGTGACATGTGCTCGGTCGACCTCTGCATGTGCCGAGCGTGCTGGTCCTCCAGTTTCCCGAGCCTTTGTAAGCATGGAGAGAGCCAAGCACACACAGGTGACAGAAAACATGGAGGGGGTCATCGGTCAGTGTGTCTCACTTGGCTTGTGTCGTCTCCAGCCGGGCCTCCAGCCGCTGTCTCTTCTCCGTCTCGATGCGAAGCGCATCTGAGACGCTGGGGAGGATATCCTCTGCCGCTGACGCAGAGTCGCTCGACGGCACGTCACAGCTGTGCGTACAGACAGACAGAGAGATAGATATTCAGACAGACAGAGATATGTACATGGCGAGCGGCGGATCGAATGCCCACCTGGTCGACGCGGGAGTCGCTGCGGCACTGGCAGGTCAGGCAGGGGGCGCCTCTGCGATGCTGGAACACCAACACGCACACACGACAGACAGACAGACAGACAGACAGAAAGCGATATGTTCCGACGCGATGCATCTGTCTCCTGTGTGGGGCTTACGGTTCATCGATCTCCGCGGGGGCTGGGAGTATGTCATGTGGCGCCGTAGAAGACTCCCCAGGCTGGCCAGCAGCAGCAGCGGCAGCAGCAGCACATGCCCCAGCACTCCCGTCAGAAGACCTGCATCATCACGTAAGAAAATCAAACGCACAGTGCTGCCTGCATCAAAGCTCGTCTTGTGTCGCCTCCGTCGCCATCTGATCTGCCTACTCGTCAGTCGATCCGATGACGGGGGCACTGACGGCCCGACGTTCCCCTCCCTGCCCTTCTTGTTGTGCTTCTTGCCGGCGGTCGCTGGCTTGGCCTCGCTCTTGCCAGCAGTGTCCTGTTTGCCGGGCTTCTTGCCTGTGTTCTCCCACTCCAGCAGCTCATCCATGTGTCGCTGTGCGTCCGCCTCCAGCTGCGCCAGCCTCTTGCCCTCCAGCCGTCGCTCCTCTTTGACCAGCTCGCCCGTCGTGGCGCCGTCTCGCTTCATGAGCAGGTCATAACATCTCCGGTGCGTCTCAAACAGGTCCGTGGAGAAGGCGAGGTCCTTCGACCGCAATATGCCCGTCGCCCTGCCGCTGCTGCCGCTGCTGCTGGTGGTGGTGCTGCTCCGTGGTGGTTTGTCGTTGATGTGGTAGATGACTGTCTTCGTGAGTCCTGCTTCTTCGATGGCCGGTGCTGTGCTGCGCTGCAGAGGGGCGAAAAGGTCCTTGTGGCGGCTGACGGCCTCGCAGGATCGCAGCAGGAAAGTGCTCTCATGGGAGCCAGGGTGCTTGACGCAGAAGGCCTCACCATTAGCCTTGTTCTGCGTTCATACAGACGGACACGAGCTTTCAGTGCGTGGTGATGTGCGACGTCTTTCTCACCGCGTTGATCTCAGGAGTGAGTGAGGCAAAGGGACTGCCGTCGAATATGATCTTGTTTCGCTGCAATTTCTTCCACATGGAGGGCCAGTTGATGACGTCTATGAGCCTCATGTACACCTGCAGGCAGCCAAACAGGCATACATTGGGCTTGGCCACCAAGGTTGCTGTGTGCTGCCTCCCTCCCTCCCTCCCTCCCTGCCTGGACACACACCAGGATGACGTTCTTGTAGTGCTTGGCCAACGCTCCCTCGGGCGGATCCCTGCACACACAACAGGCAGGCACCACACACAGGTGTGCAAGTCGTGCCGCGTCGCTCCCCCACTCACACACTCACTCTTTGAGCATGTTGAACGTATGGTGGATGATAATTGAAATCACCTTGATTGGCCCACACACACAGCATGGTGCATGTCTGCAGTGCAGCAGTCGAGTCGAGTACCTACCGTGGTGATTTCCTTGATGCGAAACTCGTCGTTCCAGTCGTGGTCCAGCTCCCAGTGCACTGATCGCTTCTGCTTGTTCTCGCCCTGCATGGCCGCCCATAAGGCCGCCAGCATGGTCGCTCCCTCGAAGCAGCTGGCCTGACGGATGACCAGCTCGTACGCCCGTGTGGCCATGGCGCCTGTGAAGAGGACGGAGCTCTTGAAGCCGTTGAACTCAGACATGAGCCGGACGTGCAGCGGATTGGGCATTCCTGAGGAGTCCAGGCCGAGCCGGGAAAAGAATTCGTTTGGAAAAAGTACCGCCCCGACTGACTAAAAGCCATAACAAACAACACAGGCAGGAGATATACGAACCAACAAGTGACAAAGCTCATTCATCCCCACACTCCCTCCTCACCACCACGCCGCCGTCCGTTGGTGCAGTCGTCTGCTCGACCATTTCTGTAACGGCCATGAAGCGGCTGAGGGTATGGCCCGGCTGTTGCTTGAGCAGCTGCTTGACCGCCGCCAGCACCTCATCAGAGTCCACGTGCGGGTGCCGTGACTTGGCCGCTTCGAGCTGGGCCTTCAAGGAGTGACCAACAAACACGACGATGTTGCCGCTCTCGTTGAGCCGCTTGCCGTGCGACCAATGGAATTTCACGAAGGAGATGATGAAGGAGCCCGCGTCTTTGAGCCTTGGGTCGTAGAAGCTCTTGGATTGGAAGATGTCCATGCCCGGACGCCACAAAAAGTTGCTCCCATCGCACTCCGGGCCGCAGCACTGACTCGTGTGGGCCATCCATCCCTGGAAACACCCCCGCCACACACACACACACACAGCAGGTCAGACAGCTGATCCGTCATCATCAGATGTCTGGGAGCCACTTCTTACTCTCACTCACCTCAAGCACTTCTTTGGCCACAGCAAGCGTCGTCGCAGCTCCACTGCTGCTGCTGACATCCATTCTCAAAAAATGCTTCGCTGAAAGCGCCTTCGAAGACGCCGAAGAGGCAGCAAACCTACACACACAACACAACAGCACCGGTCAGTCAGTCTGGCCATTCCTTGGGTGTGTGCTCGTGTGACTGACCTGAGAGAGTGCTGTGCTGTGGAGATGGCCTCACCCGGCTGCTATTTGCTGGTCGATCTGTGCTCGTCACCTTCACGCGGCCACCCACCCTTTACGCGAAGACTCGGATAAGTTTCTCCCCTGGCAGCCAGACGTCTGCGAGCTGAGATTGCAGGCGATCTGTCTGCTCCGTCTCTGCAATGGGGCTTTCGTGTTGGGTTGTTCTTTGATGCATTCGTCCGTGCATACCCAAAAAGATTCATTGGGCTCGACGCACACCGGTGACAACATGCATTGATAAAGCACGGGATTAACGGAAAGCGCGTCAGCACGAGGAGTCCATCAAGAATGCAAACTAAAAACTAGCTAGCTGTCCCTTCCATTCAATCACTGCAAGCATACCAAATGTAACCCTCTGTCCGACCACCCACCGAGTCCGTCATAGATCATCAACCCTTGACATATAGAGTGCACATAAGTGATGCCCCTGGGGAAGTGGCCGTCAGCCAGAGGGTCAAACGACGACGCACAAAGGGCGGGAAAGTTGGCACGGAATAGCGCTGAGCTCGTGGGCTGGTGGGAGATGTCGTGCACGTGATGCTCGGCAATGGTGGGTGCGGAAATGAGGCCCCTGGGGAAGTGGCCGTCAACCAGAGGTTCAAACGACGACGCACAAAGGGCGGGATAGCTGGCACGGAATAGCGCTGAGCTCGTGGGCTGGTGGGAGATGTCGTGCACGTGATGCTCGGCAATGGTGGGTGCGGAAATGAGGCCCCTGGGGAAGTGGCCGTCAACCAGAGGTTCAAACGACGACGCACAAAGGGCGGGATAGTTGGCACGGAATAGCGCTGAGCTCGTGGGCTGGTGGGAGATGTCGTGCACGTGATGCTCGGCAGTGGCGAATTGGCACTCGGCAGTATTCAGGTGGTTCGGCTCGGTTGCGAAGGGGCGACTGGTGCATGCATGGATGGATGGATGGACCAGATTCACACACGTGCACACACACGAGTCTGTGTGGAGCGCATCTGTGCGTATGTCCGTGTCTGTGTGCGCAGGTGGTGGCGACAAGGCCGGGGTGATGAGTAAGTTGTGCGGCGCTGAGGGCCCTGGCGACATCCGGGCGGCCGTTCTGGAGCACCTGGCCGTCATTCTGCCGGGCATCATAGCATCTAAAGTCGGCGCCAACACGGTCATCGAATACTGCAAGACTAAGGTGGGTGCGGGGGATGGATGAATGGATGGATGAATGGATGGATGGATGGATGGATGACCACGAGACACCGCGTTGTTGTGTTGCATTCCCTCTTTTCTTCCTCTCAGTTGACTGTAGAAGCCCTCGTGCAGCTCGGCACAGAGCCTGAGCCCCCCAGTGAAGCCATCACACTCATGAACGTTCTCACCGACGCCCTGCCCACACTCGCCGACCTCCCGACGCCCGCCGAGCCACCCATGGCCATCATGACACTCTCCGAATTCCACAAGACCATCGGCGACCTAGACATCCACACCATCGACGAGAGCACATGCAAGAAGCTGCAAGAAGGGCTCGCGTCGGCGTAAGAAATGAGCGCACGTAGACGTGCTTGGTGTCGTGTGCATCGGTTTGTATGTGTGCCTATGTCTGTGTGTGTGTAGGTCGGTGCTGCGTGTGGGCGGGGTCTGCAAGTATCTGCTGGCGTTGCTGAAGGTGGTGGTGGGGCATCTCGGGGTGGACGACGGTGGTGTTGGGTGCAAGGAGGATGTGTTGAGTGTCGCTCTGGAGGCGTGTTTGATGTCGCAGGGGGCGCTGGTACGCACAAAATGCACAAACGTGCCGATTGCTGCTGCACGAACTGCACAGGTTGACGTGCCGTTGTTGGATCTGGGCAGCTCGGCCAAGGCCAAGGACGACAAGGCAAGCGACGGGATAGATCCAAAGGGAGTGCGTGGTCGTCATGCGTTGCAATGTGTTGCTGTCAGGATCTGACGGAGACTGACGATACGACCAAGACCCGTACGTGCAGGCGGACAGGCGCAAAGACCGACGTCTTTCCATGAGCATTGCTGTGTTTGTGGTGCAGCGACTGCATCGGCATCGCAGCCTGCGCCCCCGGTGCCCCGCAAGGGGCGCAAGGACAAGAAAAAGAAGGACAAGGGAGGACAGAAGGTCCGCGAAACAACAGATGTGTGTATTGCTGATCGATCTCTGTTCTTGGCAGATGATCATGGGAGCCGCGCCGATCGACATCAAAGCCCTGCGGGAGGTGAGAAGGCAAATGTGTGATAGGGGCATGCACAGCTGTACACACACTATCTTTGTCCTCCTTGCTTGATCGATCAGAAGAATCGCAACCCAGGCGGTAAGAGAGTGGAATGACGGACACATGACATGAACTGATTGATGTGCATGTCATGTGTGTCCGTCCATCTGCAGGGGCGTCCCCGCCAGTGTCTCAGCCGGTATCTCACCCAGCCAGCCAGACTAGCCACCAGCCGAACGACGAGACGTATGTACCTGCCTGTCCTTCCTGCCTGTGTCTGTCTGTCTACTCACAGGCTCCCGTGCCCAGAAGGTCGTACGCCCCGCCCCCCTGGTCGTCGGATGACCATGGGAGGGTGGTGGTCGGCTCCAAGAATGACCATCCTTCCATCATTAAGACGCTAGATAAGGGAAAGAACAAGTAAACCACACATACACCACACAGACTGACTACAAGGCAGGGGGTAGCTAGCAGGCTCAGGCCTGAGCACCTGTGGGTGGGCTGGGAGGAGAGAGAGAGAGGGGAGAAGGGGTAGCCTGACTGACTGACTGATTGATCCATTGATTCATGGAATGGCTGCATCCTATGGTAGCAGGTGCGTGGATGGCATGCATCGAAAGAGACCGCGACCAATGATTGTACGGATGAGCTCACGAGTGGTGAAGTTCTCCTGCACACGCTCACGCAACACCACATCACATCACACCACATCATGACATGAAAGCGGGGACTCATACAACGCAATTGGCGCATCACGAAACAGCCAAATGCATGAACACATCACCGTCATGCGCTGGCAAGACGGGCGATAGATTCATGAATGGGTCACATCGATGGCTGTCATGCATGGCAACACTACAGCACGCCACACCCGTCCCGTCCACCATGTACGCAGAAGCGGGACGTGCTTGGCGTACACAATGAATACATCAATGTCAAAACGGGAACGTGAGCGCTAGATCCATTCGCAAAACTCTCCCCATTCTATCTCACAACAAGTACCGGTAAGTGACACATCCATGGTACATGCACGGCTTTCCTCAGCTCATATTTCATACGGTCATCATCGGGTCGCGGCACTCGAGGTGAATCTGCACAGGCAGGCAGGCAGGCAGCACAGGAATGATGTGTTGCGGCCATGCCCTTGTTGTGTTGATTGTGGGTGGCCTCACGCACCTCATCGATCTCTTTGAGCACCTCAGCAGGCAGGTCGGTGTAGCTATCGATGCACTCCTGAGACACACACGCACACACACACACGCGTGTGCCAACGAATGCAATGCTGTCTTCCCTCCCTCTCCCTCGCCCTCACCTTGAGCTGCTCGACGGATGTGGCTCCGAGGATGGGGCTGGTGTTGAAGAAGCGAGACTTGGCGAAGCCCATCGCCAGCTGCGTCATCGTCAGCCCGTGCTTGCTGGCCAAGGCCATGTACTTGTCCACAGCCTGACCCGGTCAGACCCCACGCACAGCGACCGACACACAGGAGAGAGACGGAGAATGCATGTCTGTGCATGCCGGGTGTGTCTGTCTGTCTGCAATGCATCCCGCACGCCCTCACCTTGAGTGCTGCATCGCAGTGGTAGCGAGCCTGGAACTTTGGAAACAGCGTGTGTCGGCTCCTGAACCACACACATACCACACACATACCACACGCATACAGAAGACGCACCTCTGCTCACTCATCCCCCTTGCCGTGTATCCATCCCTCTCTGACTCCCTCACTTGGTTGGTTTGTTTGCAGTGTTGTATTTGCCGGTCAGACTGCCGCCCGCCAGCAGGCCATAGTGCACTCCGGCTATGTTGTGGTAGCGGGGGCTGCACGCCTCAGCCAGCTCATACTCAAACCTGACACAAGCCCAACACACACACCAATGACCACCGTACCGCGATGCGTGTGTCGTGCGCACGTTCGGTTGATGAGCGAGTAGTCGTTCTGAATGCACACAGGCTTCCTCAGACCATGCCGCTCAGCCAGCTCACAGAACTTGGTCAGACCAAACGTGGACTCGTTCGAACTGCACACACACAGATGGTGCACACACACACGGGCAGCGACGAGTGCCACACACAAGAGTCGTGAGATGGGCTGGTGTGTCGCACCCACTTACACCGCCCAGGCCTTTGCCTTTCCCTCGTCAATGATGGTGTTGATGGCCTTGAGCTGGTCCAGGAATGGAAGGGTCTCCCGCTCCTTCGTCACGTCATAGACCGTCGGGCCAAAGATCGGCTTGTACCTGGCAAACACACACACACCACACACACACATATACACACACACACACACACAGAGAGAGAGAGAGAGAGAGAGATGCGCACAGACACATGCATATTCTTTTGACACGCTTGTTGGCCTCCTCCTCTGTATGGAATGGTTCCGATACCTGTCTGGCCAGTGAATGTAGAGTATGTCGACATAGTCAGTCTGCAGGCGATGGAGGATGGTGGCTATCGACCGCTGCATCTGGTCGGGGCTGGGCCGCACAGGCGTCCCATCCATCTCCATCGGCGGAACACGCTTCCTGACACGACACACCAACAAACATCACCATCACAGCAGGAATGAGAGTGCACATCCTTCCCGCCATCCCCCCATCCGCCCAACAGCTCACGGCTTGATCCACTCCCTATCGGCGTATCCGGGCACTTTGCTGGCGATGATGAACTTGCTCCTGTCCTTGCCCTTGAGCCATCGCCCGAGGTAGGTTTCCGTGCGGCCAAGGATCTCCGTCCGGGGCGGCACCGGATACATCTCAGCCTGCACCAACACAGCACAAAGGCACCCAGCCAGTGCTTGCCAGATCTGGATCTCTGTGTCATTGCACATTCTGTGTCATTGCACATAGGCAGCAGATCATCAATCACCTTACCGTATCGATGAACGTACCGCCAACGCTCTCGAAGTAGTCGAGCTGGGCGTGCGCTTCGGCCTCTGTGTTTTGCTCGCCCCAGGTCATGGTGCCCAGACACAGCTCTGACACCTGAATGTCGCTCCATTTGCTCCCACATGACATTGGAACAGCAGCCGCAACCATGACACGGTGATAGATCTGGGCTTTTCTGTGCTTTGAGTACCCTAGTTTGTGGTACTTCAGCATGCGGCCCCCGTTCTTAGCCATTAGACTGGTTGGTTGGTTATTGTGTTTAACGAGACCTCCACTGCGAGCTAAGCGAGCGAGCGATCGCAAAAAGAGATGGGTGGAACTCATCGCATTCTGCTTATGACGCTTTGGCCAGACACCGCTCGGCATGGATCTTGAACTGCCGCAATCGGCAAGTGATTTGGAGGACAAAGCGTGGAGAACCACTGATGCGTGTATTGTCAGGGTGGCCACAAGTGAGAAGGTCTTAAAGCACTTGCATCCATTTGTCTATCTGTCTATCGCCTGTAAAGCACCAACATTCCTGTCTGGCCTGGCTGCCGCCATCTGGATGATGTTGAGCATTTCTGCCTTGAGCCTCGCCTCACGCACACACCACGCCTGCCGCCATCCCAGCCACGCCACCATCACACTCAGACAAAGCACGGCCAGCACCAGCAGCCCACACATGGCCTTCCACATGGCCGCTCCGTCCTCGTCGACACCCAATAATGCGGTGGTCTCAGCATCAGCAGCGTTTTGTGGCTCCTCCACGGGTTCTGGCGTTTTTTGTGGTGTTTCCCTTGCCTGCATGGATATCGCGTTGTCGGCGATGGGCATGAGGAGCTGGGCGAGCCGGACGCCCGCGATGATGATGCGGCCATATGATATGGCGGCCGTCTGGTGGATGTAGTCATCGCTCGGCTGATACGGCAGTGCCCCGTCGGTTTTCAGAAACTCTATTCCGCGCACAAATGCAGACAATGAAACATAGGAATCGGTAGGATGTCTGTGTCGACTCATGTGCCTTTGCACCTGTGTAGACGTGTTGCTCGCAAAACTGGTGCGACTCGGCAATGATGTCCTTAAAGTCGAGTATTCTCGCTTCGGGAGACGCCATGGCCTGCCGTATGTGGTCCTTATGTTCGAGCGCCTGCAAGGCCAGACGGCCGCCATTGTGTTGTTCCATCTGTCTCTGCATGTATACGTGCGCACCTCACAGAGCACGTCTTCTTCTGTGTGTTGGGGCCATAGTCGTTGCAGAGGGCCGCCAGCGGCATCCCACAATGTGTGCAAGCTCGGTGGGCTATACCCCATGCCCTCACCGATAGCGACTTTTATCTTGACCTACGAGCCAAATGCGTCAATACGCCAAGCGTGCGGCATGGACGAAATGTGGCTGCCTTCCTACATACATCGTTGCCGCCTTTATCCCCGTTTGCGAATTGGCTGTTGTAAAGTGTGCAGGCGTGAAGGGGCTGGTGAATGTCCCGATACACGTGCATCAGAAACCTGCAAGCACACAAACAAGCAGAGAGAAAGGGCGAAAGTATGCATCATTCCCCCCGCAACAGACGTCACACACCGCAGCATGAAGTTCCAGCTGAAAATCGTTCCCTTGTCCTGCTTCCGGCCTAGCTCCATCAGCGTCTTGTTGGCATGCTCCAGAAGCCACTGCGCGTTGATGCTCTCGTGTACGTTCTCAGGAAGGGCCACATCGAGAGGATTGAGGGGGACGTTGATAGAATGCCAGGCGTCGAATACCTGCGTGTGGCAGGCAGGCACCAGGTGTCTACGTGTATGCGGCTGGCCGTTGTGCCACTGTTGTCACCCACCCGGAGGCCTTCATGCCGCCATCCGCCGCGGCAGTGCCCAACGTCTTTCGTGCACTTGATATGGTCAGGCCAGATGGGAGCCGTCACGAGAGACGAAAGACCAGGGTATTGATACTCCCATCCTCTCAATACAGCCTCCAGTGCCTCAACAGCTGTCTTGCCGCCGTCCATCTGATGAGTCATGACGTATTTGGCGATTCCCCCGACCAGCATGTGACCCTGACACAAAGTGTCACACACACACACACATTGCACTCTCATTCGCGCCAACCGATGGGCTCTCTCAATTGGCTTGGGCGCTTACGTACGTCATCGAGCCAGGCAGCGCAGAACGGACTCTGCGCGAGAAGGATGAGAAGACAGAATGTGAGACCGCACCAGGGGCCTGCCATCGCTACACGCTCAAGCACTGACAACAATGTGAATGCGGGATGATTCGGGATACCCTTTGGAGGGCCGAACGCCTCCCAGTGCAGTGTTTACCTCCCTCCTGCAAGCTTAGCTCGCAGGAGGGAGCCGCGCTGAGCCGCGTGAGTCGAGTAATGTGGCGATGATGGACAGGCGTCCCCCCAAACGCAAAGCTGCCGTGGCAGCCGAGGCGGCCTCTGCTTCTGTTGTCCGCCCCCGACCGAAGAAGCACAAGCGCAAAACCACAGATGAACACGACGAGGACAGTCAGCAGGGGCGCGAGGATGAGATGGCTGACGAGCGGCAGGAAGAGTCAGAGAATGAGGAGGCCATGGAGGAAGACAGCAGCAGCTCATCGGGGTGGTCGGACTGGGAGGACCGTCGCGCGGCGAGGAGTGGGAAGGGGCGGCGTGGTGCGGGCAAGGACAGGAACCACAAGGATGGCACACGCACGGGCGTGGCAGCCAATTTGGAGGCAGCAGCACCAGCAGCCGATAGTGACGAGGGAGAGGAAGATGCGGAGGGTGACGAAGTGGAGGGAGCTGTAGATGAGCAAGCCGACGTTGAGATGCAGGTACACCTTGCAAGAGGAAGGGGATAGTTGGTGATGCGATCGATGGACGCAATGCAATTCCTTTCTGCTGTTGTGTTGCCTCTCTCTGGTATGTGCTTGTGTCTGCAGGATGTAGCAGATGTGTGTCCAGATACTGTGCTATCGACTCTCGACACGATGGGCGAGAAGCTGCAGACACTCATGCAAAGACTTCAACAGACCAAACAGCGGGTCAGTGAGGGAGTGAGATGACCAAAGGCCGTATAGGCAGACCGTTTGAAGCGGTGTAGGTGTGGGTGTGAATGTGGTTGGTGTTGTGATCGATCTTCAGGCCAAACACGTGTACGAGATGAGGGAGAATCTCCCGCCGCCCGACACAGACCTACAGCAGCAGCGTACGCAGGTACCTGCCCACCTGCCTACACAGCCCATCCCTCTGCCAAGTTTGCCTCTTTGCCTTTGAATCAGGAGCTGGATCGTCACTACCGTGTCATGGGGTCGATGGTGCTACAGGACGCCCACAGGCAGATCGACAATGCCGAGTCGGCGATGGAGCAGCTCGAGCAGGCCAACAAGAAATTCGACATACTGGAGGGGAAGATGCACAAACTCAACGACGAGGGGGTAACCCACACACACATCCACGCCGCTGCGTGTCAGGTCCCCATATTGTTGTCTGTATGTGTGTGTGTATGTGTGTGACAGGGTTACTGTGCGTGTCTGGAGGGACTGCCGGAGGCTCTCTGGCTGAGCGACGACCACCGCATCGGCATCGGTACGGGGAGACGAGCAACTGACCACATTCCTTTCACCGTTCACATTCCTTTCACCGGTCTGGTTTGACCTTCTTAGGCGGTCATCTGGGTTTCCCGTCGTCCATTGAGTCCCTCTCGTGCGTCAGCACCTACTTTCACCATCTCACCACAAACAGCAGCATGCACCCAATCGCCCACATCAGCATGCCGCCACGTGAGAAAGTCGCCAAGACCTGGCACGGTAGGCGGGAAACAAGGAGGGAGGGAGGGAGGGAGGGAGGAGCTTGTCTTACTCCCCTTGTCATTGCCGTGACTCTGCTGCCCTTGTGTGCGTGTTTGTGTGCGTGTCTGCGTGCGCGCCTTTCAGGTCGGCTGTTGGAGTGCCGTGAGTTGAAGGTTGATCACCGTCCGACTGTGGCGTTGGTGCGGCTGCTGGAGGCAGTGGCGCCATCTTTTCGTAGGGTGGACTTGCGGGGCTATGCCAACGGCCACCAGGAGGGCGGCCGGATCCTGCGCGGCAGACACCACATGAAGATGCCACACAACCGGGTACGCAGCGGAGTGGGGCGGGAAAAGGGTGTGTATGTCGACGTGTGCTGTTGCCAGTTTCCGGTGGAGTACCCCCTTCTGGCAACGGCGGTTGTGCGTGGCGGGTGGAGCAACATGGCGGCTGACAGAAACATGCAGCTGCCGGCACTGACAGCACTGGTAGGTCGCATCACATCACATTAGTGAGTGCACCTGTGGGTCGCGCACTGTCTGTCTGCCATGTTTGCGCATCGTTGACACAGGATGTGGTGGATCTGACGGCGTCTGGCCCTCGGTCGTTCATCAGTCGCGCCAGGAACGGCCTCCGATCCCTCCACATTCCGTTCGAGGTCAGCGCCTATCCACACTCACTTAGACATGCACACCATACGCAACACAGCACCTCGGTGCACCTGCCTGGCCGCATGGCATGGCTGCAGCGTGAGCTGGGCTGCCGCTCTGACGTCAACCTGATAGACATTGTCGACTCCCTCATGTTCACTGCATCAGGTCAGAAAGCCGCGGCCACAGACAGAACGGACAACAGACACAACACAACAGATACACTGCTTCCCTTTTGTCTGCAGCCAAGACTCTCCGTTCGCTGACGGGTCGTGGTCGGTTTCAAGGGGTGAACCTGGACGCCTTCATCAACCTGTTCCGCTCACCCACCGGCAGCGGCCGCCTGCAGAAGATCGAGATGTGCCTCGCCGAGCTCGGCGACGACGACGTGCGCTCCGTTTCATTCATCAAGGTGGGGTAACAAACAAGAAAGGACGTCTGACCCACTGCTAGCTAGTTTCCCACCCACCCACACAACAGCCTCTTGTCCGCTTTGCTTCTTTGTTCATTCTTCAGGCGCTCGATCGGTTCAGGGCCACCTGCCTGGCCCCGGGTGCCACCGAGGTGTACTGGGGCGCCCTGGACATCCAGAGGCCGGTCGACCTAGCCAAGAAGGGCCTGTCCGTGCGGCTGCCCTTCGCCGGCGACCCCACCGAGCTGCCCTTATGCCTCCCCACCATCAAGCTGCTTTTGCACAGGCAGCCTCAGTGACGGTACTCCCGTGGGCCAACACACTCCAGCCGCACCAGCAGCAGCTCAGCTCGCTGGTGTGCGGGAGTGCCACCAAGCTGACGATCGCCGGCGCCGTCAACGCCCCCTGGAACTACCTCCCCTCGTACATCACGGCCAACCCCGCCGCGCTCTTCCCTAACGTCGAGACGGTCGTGGCTGAGCAGGGGGATGGGCAGATGTTCTTCTACCTGGGAGGGGCGGACACAGTGCTGGGAAAGCTGCCTTCACTGTCGTCCGTCACCTTCAACTTGAGGGCCCTTGCCGCCCCCACTACTAGCCTCTTCCTGGTGCCTGAGCCAGTCTCGCTGCTCTCTGTCAAAGGCAGCCCTCTGCGTGTGGTGGTGGGGTGGCGTGTCGATCTGGCCGCCGGCCAGGGGGAAAAGCGCGTTGAGTGGCGTATGTACGGTGTGGGGGATCGGGGCAGACAGGTGATGGAGAGGCGAGTCAGGACACTGCAGATAGAGTTGACCACACTCAGATATGGCCGGACGGTCCAGGGCCTCTCGGCCGCCGAGGCCAGGACCATGTGCCGCACGCTGGCACAGAGGGTCGGCATGGCACTCGACAGCTTCCCTTTGCTGCAGCGAGTGGTGCTGGTGCTGCGTGTGAGGCCACGGTTTTCTTTTCCGCGCATTTTGCGTGACATGGCCCAGGGCAAGTTTGCTGTGTCGGTGGTGGACGGCGTCACCCTAGAGATGACCCGCCCGGCGACCAAAAGTGGGGACGGGGAGGGAGGGGGGCGGGGAGGGGGAGGGAAGAAGGAGAAGAAAGAGAAGGCGAGCCAGGCGGCGTAGGGATGTGGCGGACACACTCATGGACGCGTCCTCTGTCTGCATGTTGGGGGGCGTGAAGTTGGTTTATTGATGCTTGATGCTTCCCTTCCGCTGCCTGTTGCATACACGCTGCATGCAATGATGGGGGAGGGCTCCCCCTCTACCCATATCGTCCTGAGGTGACATCTCATGCCTCAAGGATGCGTTCCTTGTGTTGCTCTTCGGCTCTCTGCATGGCTGCCTGGGCTCTCTGCTGCCCCGAGGCGGGCAGGCGCCCCGAGCGTGTGGCGGCGTGCAGTGCGTCAAAGAGCGAGCGACATGTAGACATATGTAGACATCCTAGAATATGTCATGGGAGGGGTGGTGTGGCTTTTGCGTCATGCTAGAGTTCAGTAGGTGTCCATCTGCATGCACGGCCTTGTATGCTTGTGTCCGTGCGTGAGTGCATCTGTGCGTTTATCAGCTGAGCTAGGTTTCATGATGTAGGCATGGCGACAGACACATGGACAGCACAGCGAAAGGGGCGTGTTGGTGAATGCGTCGAGTCGAGCTACTGGTTGCACGACTGGTGGGTGGTTGTTGGTGTTGCGTGTGTGTATTCGGACGCACCATTGAGATGATTTAATGCGTGCGTCCCACGTGCACGATGCACAAATGCACCCACAAACCCACCCACTCATACACATACTTGCGTTCCCTTAAGATGGCTGCATACCTACCTACCTAGACAACACATATAAGGCACCCCCAGATGCATATAAAGATATGTACAAGACGACACACACGCTGCCTGCCTGCCTGCCTGCACGAAACCTCGCTTGCAGCTGTCTGTAGCGACATCCATGGGATGCCCTCCTCCCTATCCCAATTCGGCCGACCGTTCTGACCAGTGGATAGCCTTGAGTGGCCGGTTGGCATTATGTAAGTCAGTAGACTGTCGTATGTTGAGCCAGGCTCCTTCAGGGCGTAGTTGAGCGTCGTCGCCGATCCAACACTCCTCCCTATCACACACACACAAGCAGAGATTTCACAGGGGAATGTGAGTGTGCGTTGCCTCATTTTTGGTGTGGCTCACTCGAGTCGTATCTGTCTTCTGCAAAGGGGATGGTCTCAGGGTGGACCTTCAACGATAGCCAGGTGGTCCAGTTGTCCACACACCACACCGACCACACCGACCATTCACCCTCTCGTCGATCTATACGTGCCTACGTGTTTGTATTTCTTCAACGGCCATGGGCATGAGATTTTCCATGACCTCGGTGCTCCTGCTGCACCCTCATCCCCACCGTCACCATCAGAGCCCGCGTCATGGACGCCATCGGTTCACAAGGATGCGATGCTGGCAGGCGGCGCAGCGGAGGTCGGCTGGTACCAACCTGGACAGCAAGCAAATGATGCATGCAGCCAGCCGAAAACGATGCCGCATGCATAAGATGCCACACAAGCCTGGCTTGTGATGCCACGAGAGCCCAGGGCAGGCCAATCGACTTAAAAAGCGCCAAGATCTGGTCGTTGTCGGCCATCTCGCCTTGCTGCACGTCTTTGGATTGGTTCCTCCGCAAAAGACATTGCATGGTGGTGGTGGTTCGATTCACTGCGTTTGGCTCCAAGCTCGCCAAAGCTAAGCTCGCAGTTCACAAGTGGCGCCTGAGATCCTCCCTTGTGAGTGAGGCAGGCAGATCTACTGTCAAATCAGTGGTATCTTTGACCGTCTGTCGGCAGTGAGCCCCTCATGGGACGATGGAAGGCATTCTCGATAGGTCAGCACACACACTTTCAGCACAAAGATCAATGGAGCCGCGTGTACGCGTTCGTTGTCCTGCACGCGCCGTTTGTTCAGACAATTCGCCATCAAGCTCGACACGCTGACAAAGAGGGACATTGGCAGCATCTTGTGTGCATGGATCACAGGTAGATTTGCAAGCGTCCAGCGATGCCATGCCATGCATCTCTGAAACGTCCTTCTCTCATTGTGCTGCAGTGTACGCGTCGGTGCTGTTGCTGGCTCTGTTCGGGCCGAGTGTGATGGAGACGCACACCTACTCGGCGTGGCAGTGCGGGGCGCACAAGGCCAAGGAGTTCGACCCCGACAAATGCCAGGCAAGCCACTCACTCATTCATTCACACAAACATTGCCCACCGCCCAGACAGACAGCCACAATGTGTGTGCGTGCGCCCGTCGGTGTGCGCGTGTGGTGGTCAGGGCGTGGATCTGACGCGGCCCGAGTCGGTGTGGTTTCTGAATCTCCACTTCACCCACAAGTACGACCACCTCTTCTACCTCACCGCAAGACTCACCGACAAGCACCACCACAGACGCAGGAGGAGAGCAAGACAGCTGCTGCTACTCCCTGACCCCAACCCTGCCCCCTTCACAAAGAGCAGCAGCAATGCCACTGCTGACGGCGACCATGCTGATGCCGATAATGGTGTGGTTGACGCCCTGCCGTCGGCCGTGAGGCGCCGGACAAGGCTGTTCCCCTCTATCAACGTGAGCGTCGATCAGTGCGTATCTGTTGGGTTGCTGTTCCTGGGTTTACTTTCCCCATGCTTGTGTGCGTGTGTATGTGTATGTGTGTGTAGAGCGAGAGTTTGCCGTCGTTGGTTGAGTCGGTCAGCCACATCAGCTGCGCTAAGGAGAATGTGCACTGCCACAAGGTAGGTGGGCTGGGCTGGGACGGAGAGACCAGATTTGGCACATCACACCCCCAATACGATCTCTCTCTCTCTCTCTCTCTCGTGTGCGTGTTGTCTGCTTTCAGATCGGTTACGTGTGCAAGTTGGGTTTGATCAGGCCCAAACCCAGGCGCATCCCGCCCCCAGCCACCACACGCGCAGGGCCGCACAAGACAAGACGACGAAGAAGGAGGAGCAGGGGGCGGAGAGCCCTCGATACGCCCGACCACCACCACCTCTGGAGGCGGAGAGGGCGGAGACGGCGGATGGCTCCACCTGCAGATAGCGATGAGCAGAACAACAGCAATGACACCGACACTGACAATGACATTGGACAGGGTGAGTCGGCAGAGCTCCGTTGGCGATTGCTTGGGCGGTCCGTGTGTCATTGGTGTGGGTGGGTGGGATGCGCGATGCAGGTCTGCCGCCGCTGGAGGCCCCGGTGCCGTCAGACCCGCTCAAGGAGGGCGGGAGCAATGCGACAGAGGGCCCGCCACTGGAGCCATACCACTTGATCGGCCAGAAGGTGAGAACACAGTCTGTCTAGTGTGTGGCTGTCAAGGGATGTCACGCTGCTGCTGCTGCTGCTGCCCTTTGTGGTGGTGATCGTCTTCAGGTTGAGAGGGTGGTTTGCTTTGACCACAAGCAACTGGTACGGTAGGCAGGCAAAGAAGCGGGAGGGCCCGGCCAGGCCAAATGCAATTCTGTGCGTACTTGACTGTTGTGTGTGTCCATCTGTGTCCCCCCCAGTGTGAGCCGATCGTCGTGCTGAACACGCACCAGTCCGAGTACAGCTCATTCAACATCACTTTCAGACTCGTCAACACCACACAGGTAGGGGAGCAACTAAGCATGGGGCATCATTCCGGCCACCGAGCTGTCTGGATGCAGGAGCTGGATTGGGTCGGCGACGTCGTGTTTGACCTGGTGTTGAAGAACGGCTACTTTGCCGTGTACGAGGCCGTGTGCAAGGTCATCTTCCTCTGCATCACGGGACTCGCACTCCTGGTCTTCCTGCTGCAGGTCGGGTCGGTGGTGGACAGACAGACAGATACACACACACACACGGACAGACAGATTGATGGCTGTCGTCCACGTGTGCAGATGAATGAGCTGCCTGTGGTTCACTGGAATGTCGAGCAGCGCTGGGTGGTCTTCCTCTTATTCGTATGACGCCACACACACACATCGAGGGGAGGGAGGACCGCAATAAACCTGGAAGCCAGCGTCTCTTGTGTGTGTGTGTGTCGTTTGGTTTGTGAGTGTCTGATGGGGTTCAACGATCCGACCTTCATCTTGGTCTTTGTGCTCGAGTCACAGCTCTTCATGCGAATCGGAATATTCCTGCGGGTGAGAAAAGCTTTCTGAGCCACAACACATCCAGACACCCCACCCCCGTGTGCGCGTGGTACGGTTCTCGGTGTGCATCTCTGCCAGGTGACGTTCTTCTGTGCGTTGCTGGTGTTTTGGCTGGTGGTGTTGGAGGGCATCGCATCAGAGGCCAAGCCAAGGGGACGCATGTGCCTCAAGCTGTGCTTTGCCGGTCAGATAAGGACAGACCCAGCCGACCACCCACCCAGCGCTATTCTGTGCTGTTGTCGGATGGATGGATGGATGGATCAGCGAACATCTGGGTGGCGTCGTCGGTGTACTTTCTGTACACGGCGTGGCAGGAGACCAACCACCCCTTCCACCTCTTCCGCGAGGACATTGTCGCCCTCTGGCCCTTCCAGCTCTGGCTCCTTCTCTCCGGAGGCGTGTACGTCATCTGGCTGCTCTTCCTCGCAATCAGGGCATTCACCGAAATCAAGTCAACACAACACGGCTGCTGTGCGTGTGGATGCGTGTGGAGACGGTGTGTGTGTGTGTGTTTGTTTGTTTGTGCAGGTTGCTGCAGTATCGATTCAAGCTGCTGTATTTCCTCCACCTTGTGAACATCATCGCCCTCTTCATCGCCGCACTCACCGGCAGCGCTGGACCAGTTCCGAGGACAAGTGGGCTATGCGCAGAGCGCACACACGCACGCACGCACAAACGCCCAAGCATATCAAATCATTTGTTATGGACCTTTGTGTGTCAGCCTTTCAGTTCATGGCGGTACAGGCCTTGCTGAACTTCTACCTGTATGCCCTGGCGGCCTTCTACGTGCCCGCCATTGACGCTACAGGCACGCGACCGACCCGCACTCACACACACGCCTGCACATAGCACCCCCTTGTATTTGTGTGTGTGTGTTTGTGTGTTGTGGTCAGCTGGCCACCACCGGGAAGTGGAAGAGGAGGCGCGGGAGATCATGAGGGACCTTTACGGGTGCCTGGGGGG